AGCTCAAACCTCTCCAAAAACTCCAAAATCAACCTCAAAGTGCCTTAGCAACAATAGGATGGTGTTTGAGTGTGTGTTTGTGAGCAATAGTATGAAGAATATGCACTTTCAAGCACAAAACAAGAGACAAATGAAGAAGTATAGATATAGATGATATGTATAGCTCAAGTAAGATTTTCTGAACCTAAGGCATGAGGGAGGAGGCTCCCTTATATAGAAAAACAAGCAAGAAGCTTGTCAAACACACTTGAGGCTCTAAGCCATCCCTCCATACACGTGTATGGAGGATGACTTCTGTGCTTTCCAATTGTCACAGCTGGTAAGAAAATATCTCCAAAAAGGTGATGGAAAGCTACCGACCACTTGAAATGGTCGGCCAGCTACTTCTACTGGTCGGTCGGCCAAGGAGAAATGTGTTCGGCCATGGTGGGAGATGGTCTGCAGCATGAAAGCAAGGCAGTGGTGTGGTGGCCGACCAGAAAAGGTGGTCCAAAGACCAAGAAAACCAGTTGGCCGACCAAAAAATTGGCTGGCAGGAAGGAAAGTGGTCTCTAAGGGAAAGAATTGGTCTCCCACCCTTGTACCACCTTCCAAACAAGGAAAATAAGGTTTGTACCAAAAACAAACCAAAAAGGATGCAAGACAAAAGTCCGGGAGGCAAGGCGAGCGGCCGGGAGCCTCAAAAACTAGTCTATGGGCATCAAAAGTGGTCTACGACCACAAAAAGTGGTCTCCCGAAGCACAGTGTCCCTCTAGGCAAAGGCAATAAGGCATGGTTCAAAAACCAAGCCAAACGGAGAACGTTAAGCGGTCCCGAGACAAGGCGCACAGTCGAAGGCTTCGAAAATCGGAAACTAGTCTCCAAAGTGGTCTACAACCACAAAAAGGTGGTCTACAGACCTCTCCCTCCCTCCAGGGAAGGGAAACAAGGTTTAGTCCACAAACTAAGCCAAAGGACAAAGAGTTCAGAGGCCCGAAGACAAGGCACTCAGTCGAAAACTCCAGAAACTCGAAACGAGCACAACATGCACTATCACCGAGCGCTCAATCGATGACATCTGAGTCTTAAGGTCGATCAAAAATGGGGTGTCTACAGATGCCACTGATAAGGACGTAGTTTGATGATTGAGCCCTGACTTTGGCAGCCTCCTGTCTGTCGTCTGGTAGTACTCCTTGTTCTAAAAAAGTGATAATGTCCTAGGCCCATGGGATGGGTTCGTCTTGGAGCAGATGGATCGCTTGTAGATCTAGTGAAATTGCTGGATGGGTCAGGAATTCAATCCTGACGCCGTGGCGGAAGTCGAATTGATCTGTTGAGGCTAACTGTGTCATTTCATCTGCTGGGGAGTTTTCTGTCCTGGGGACATGCTTGATGTGAAAGCTATTGAACAGGCGAGTGGGGGGAAGAGCGATGTCCCTGTAAGATCGCATTGCTTTTTCTTTGGCGTCAAACTCCCCTGTTATCTGACCAACGACCAAACGAGAATCACTAAACACTGTGAGGTGTCGACCCTAATGTCTCTGGCCAGTAGGAGACCTGCTATTAGGGCCTCAGATTCGGCCTCATTGTTACTTGCTAAAAATAGGAATCAGAGGGCACATTTGAAGTACTCACCCTCCGGAGTGGTGAGGATTAGACCTGTTCCACTACCTTCTTTGCGAGATGATCCGTTAACACTGAGAGTCCAGGAGTGAGGGCTTCTATATCAAGAATGACATGTGCTGGCGAAGGGGATATGCTTGGGATGAGATTTGTGAACTCCAGGATGAAATCTGCAATAGCCTGGCCTTTGATGGCGGTTCGGGGTCGGTAAGAGATGTCATACTGGCTTAATTTGACAAACCACTACATGAGTCTACTCGACAACTCTGGCTGTTGCATGACTTTTTTTAAAGGTTGGTCAGTGAGGACCGCTATGGAGTGGGCTTGGAAGTAAGGTCGGAGGTGTCTGGAGGTGATGACCAGAGCTAGGGCCATTTTTTCCAGTAAGGGATAATTTTGCTCTATCTCTCGAAGTGCGCAGCTGATATAATAAACCGAGCGTTGGACTGAGTCATCTACTCTGACGAGGGCTGCACTGACTGCAATGTGGGAAACGGCTAGGTAAAGAAAAAGGGTCTCCCTTGGGAGTGCTTGAGAAATAAGGGGAGGATTTTTCATGCATTGCTTGAGTTGTTAGAACACCTCCTCGGACTCAGTAGTCTAGTTGAAAGAGGTTCTGAGCACTTTCAAGAATAGAAGGCATTTATCGGTGGCCCTTGAGATGAAATGATTGAGGGCAACTACTCTGCTTATGAGTCGCTAAACCTTCTTCACCGTTCTGGGAGGCTGCATTTCCATTAGGGCCCTGATCTTTTCGGGGTTGGCCTTAATACCTTTGTGGCTGACCATGAAACCTAAGAATTTACTGGATCCAACGTTGAAGGCATACTTTTGTGGGTTGACCTTCATCTTATACTTGCGCAGGGCTTGGAAAGTCTCTTGTAGGTCGGTTAGGTGATCAGAGGAGAGTCTGCTTTTGATGCGCATGTCATTGACGTAGACTTCCATGTTATGACCTATCTGGTTCTTCAAAACGGCATTGACAAAACGTTGGTAAGTAGTCCCCGCATTCTTCAAACCAAATGGCACACGGTAATGATAAGTTCCTCTGTCAGTAATGAAGGAGGTGTGCTCCTGGTCAGCAATGTGCATTAAGATCTGATCATAGCTTGAGAAAGCATCCATCTGATGTCCCGCAGCTGCGTCGACCAATAGGTCTATTCGGGGAAGTAGGTAACTATCTTTGGGGCAAGCTCGGTTGAGATCAAAGTAGTCGACGCACAGTCGCCATTTGCCATTATTTTTGTGGACCAAGACCACATTAGACAACCATCAGGGATAGTCCACGTTTCTGATGAACTGGGCCTTTAACAGTTTGTCCACCTTAGTGGCAATGAGGTTGTTGCGTTCTGGATGGAAAATGCGCTGCTTCTGGCGGAATGATCGGAGCTAGGGCTCAATACTAAGGCAATGGGTAATAAAGGAAGGGTCGATACTTGGCATGTCAGAATGAGTCCAAGCGAAGACATCATTGTGCTTGGTTAAGAGAGCCGTGAGGTTGGCCTTTGCCTGAAAGGACAGGTGGGTGCCAATCCTAGCCGTCTTTGTTAGATCAGTGGGATCAATTGGTACTTCAACTAGTCCTTCCACCGGTTCTCCTCTGATTAGCTCCTTTTCGTCCCAGACATCAAGGCCTTCTATGATCATGGCTTCCCTCATCCTGACCTCTTTTGACGAGGCAACATAGCATTCTTTGGCCACCATTTGCTCACACCTCATTGTGCCGACCCCCTAATTAGTCAGAAATTTCATGACCAAATTGTATGTGGAAGTCACAGTTTGGAGAGCAATAAGAGTTGTGCATCCAAGTATAATGTTGTAAGCAGAGGGGTAATCGATGACGAGGAAGGTGAGGAGTTTTGTGGACTGCCGTGGATACTTGCCGATGGTGATAGGAAGGTCAATAGAACCAAGAGAGGTCACTTGATCCCCGGTGAAATCGACCAGAGGGGTTTGTAAGGGTGACATCTTTTCTTCTCCGACCTGGAGTTGTCGATAGACATTGAGGAAAATGATGTCGGAGGAGCTACCATTATTGACAAGTACCCGTCGGACTCAGTAGTTTGATAAGAGGGTAGAAATGACAAACGAGTCATCATGGGGGAAACTAACGCCCGTGCAATCTGCCTTCGTGAAGGTGATCGGCTCCGACCATTGCTTGGGTTGTTTGTAGGGGCAATCTACTGTTATTACTTCCTTATCAGAGCCTTGCCGAATTTTTATGAGTTCGGCTCACTATGCCTACCGAGATGGTCCGCCGCACGCTAGCCCACCAGGAAGGACTCTGACCTCGCCTACAGGGGGGCAGGACCGCCTTGCACTACAACAAAAAAGGTCTATGGTGACGAAAATGCATGAAGAAAAAATATTTCGTCTCCAAATATACATGTTTTAGTGATGAAAATAAGATTTCGCCTCCAATTGTACTATTTTTAGAGACGAAAACCAAATTTCGTCACCAAATGCTTAAAATCAAATAAAACAATGGTGACAAAAAATTTATTCGTCTCTAAATTTTATTTTTTGTCACAAAACAGTTTCTCACCCTGGGAAAATTTGACGGAAGATTTGGCGCCATTTTGGAGACGAAATTTTTCGTCATCATTGTAAAAATTTTTTAAAGGGGAAATAATTTCATCTCCAAATGTATTATTTTTAGAGAGGAAAATCAAATTTCGTCACCAAATGCTTAAAATCAATAAAAAATAAAATTGAACCAAGAGATAGATATCTCTCTGTTTAGATGCATGTATTTTACCTTCTATATCTCTCTGTCACCCCTTCACCTATTCATCTCCGTCACACCGTTCGTCCATCTTTGTTGCACCGGCTAACCCGTACGTCGCCGGCTGGCGCTCGCTACAACAAGTATCTCTCTCTCTCTCTCTCTCTCTCTCCCTCCCTATTATTACTACAACAAAACTGGGTTTTCACGGCACCACATCAATGACATACAATAAATACACGACGTGATTTCTCACTTTTACGACTTTCTTTTTTGCACATCGTAAATAATTTCTCAACCACGATGTGTCTATTGTGTAGGTCGTGAATGCTAATAATGATGATTTTTTTGCGGCTTGCAATATTAGCCGTAAATAATAAGACTTTCTATGGCGTGCATATGACATGTCGTTAATACATCAACTCTACATGACACATGTACACCGACTATTAAAAATATTAAACATTTTACGATGCACAAAAAATCAACCGTTAAAAAATACAACTTCCACGACGCACATATATTAACCATTAAAAATATTTTACTTTTTACGACACGCAATTCCTATCATGAATAATATAAGTGAAATAAAAATCGGCGCCAAAATAAAATACTCTAGCCCCAAACCCCCAAACCCAAAAATATATTAGACAAAAATAAATAAATATATCGAACTTCTTCTAATCGTAAAGGAACGTATAAACTCAGAAGATGGGGAAGAAGAGAGAGGGTTCGAAGAAGACACTTGGGCAAAACCAAGAAGAGAGGGTTAACCCAGAAGGCTTTGGCTTTGGCTTCTAATCAAAGTGAACCCAGAAGGTTTCATCAAAAGAGAGAAGTTTGGAGGGAGCTCAATCTCATCTCTCTGAATCATCTCATCGAAGAAGGGTTACCTGGTACATTGCTTCCTCATCTCATTCCTCTTATCTTTGTTGATTTCTATTAAAGTGATTACTCATTGTTTGTTTGGTTTTGATTTCGATTTTGATTTTGATTTTGATCATCTCATCGATTTTGATTTCAACTCTCTATTACAGATTCTCTTTCTTTTTATGGTAAACTATTGCTTCTTCTCTTTCACTCTCTCTCTCTCTCTCTCTACGAAGCTAGGGTTTCAAAACCACCACTGTCAAGAGGTGTTGATTGAACGGAGGTAGATTTTTCTGTTTCTTAACTTAGTTCATATTTTTCTATCACCATTTGTTCTATTTCATGTATATGTCTAGTGATTTGGGGAAAAAATGGTTTTGAGAAGTTAAGTTTTAAATTGAAAATTTAGGGTTTTTATTTGGGGGTTTTGATCCAAAAATTAAGATTTTGTTGCCATTGCCAATTTTTTAGGTAATTTTATTTTTATTTCTAATGGCTCCTATTTTACTTTGACCATTTGTTTTGTTCAAGATTTGTGCTAGGTTGTTGCTGGAAAGAAAATTTGTATCAGGTGATTCTCTTCCTTATCTCTCTGTGATGCTTGCACATGTTTGTATGTATCTAAATATTAACATATACCCAAAATTGTGACTCCATAACAAGATGATTTGTGTTTTGTATGATGATTTCTTGTCTTTGTTTCTCGTTGTTGTCTTTGGCTGATTATGTTTGTGTATCTGTGTTTGCTTAGGTATCTTTATATATCTTTATTTTGTTTCTACTGTCCAGCAGAGAAGAAAACTATATACATGTTATTTATGCTTCCTAGGTGCTTGATAAAATGCTACTAAGAGTGATTGGCTCTTACTATACTTTTATATTGTTTTCTTCTGAGTTTTTGTTTTAAATATATATATCTATATATATAGTAAATGGCTATATTTGAAACTTGTCATGTTATATATGAGAAATCACCAAGGAGATGAAAAGTTTGGTGAAATAAAAATGTTATACATAATAGCCCTTAAAAAAAAATGCTGGATTTTTTTTTAAAGAATTTTTTTTTTGGGTTATTTAAAAATAAAATAAAAATTAAAAAATAAATTCTAAAATGTATGCTAAAAGGACAATAACATTGGCCACAAGCCCAAAAGTCCACCGGGCAATCAAACTAATGGTTAAAAGGGGTCTAAGAACTTGGGACGATACAGTTTGATTGTAGAGAGAATGCTCTGCCATGTCTTCGCTGCTATTGATTGTTCCTTGGTGTAAATCACAATTATTGTTGCATTTTAGAGTGTATGATTTTTACCTTTTCTATCTTTGTAATTAAAAATTATATAAATATTTTACCATGTATAGTTCTCAGTTTGGATTGAATGATCTTTTACATACATACATAATCCATTTAAATTAGTGTTTGGTTCATTGGAATGAAATGTTTAATACATCAAAATATGCATTATTTTATGTTTGGGTGACTAAAAGAATAACAAAAAATACATTGCAAATGATCATTCCATAGGGAAATTTAAGAAATGAGTATTCCATTCTATTCCATGTGATTGTTGAGAACTAAATAGAATATCAGTTTTTTCTAGGCTTTGGTGATGAATTTACTAATTACAATCACTCCTAGACATTGGCATATGTTATCTAAATATAATATGTAATTTGTGGTTTGACTTTCATATCCTTTGCTTGTGTTTTTGTTTTTTGGTTTTGAATCCCTTTCTTAGCACAATGTATTTTTCAAGCACATGGTTGGATATATTATTGAATATCAGTTTTTTTTCTAGGCTTTAGTGATGAATTTACTAATTACAATCACTCTGGACATTGGCATATTTTATCTAAATATAATATGTAATTCTTATTCTTGTGCTTTGACTTTCATACCCTTTGCTTGTGTTCTTGGTTTTTGGTTTTGAATCCCTTTCTTAGCACAATGTTTTTTTCAAGCACACGGTGGGATATATTATTGAAAAGTGCAATTCCTTTTACTAGGTTGATTAAATTTTTATATTTTAGCTTTCATGTTGGTAAGTTAACTTATCTCAGAGCTTGTGATTTGAAGGTAGCTCTTTTAGTTAAACTGGGTTTCTATGATCCATTTTCCATCACACATCCTACTTTTTTTTGGCACGTCCTTTAATAGGTTTTAGTTTGTTTTTTTTTTGCTGATGATTTCATTGTCTAGATGATTTAAGATTATTCTAAATAACAAATATAAGTGGTAAATGAATATAGAAAGACTGATCTATTTATTTATTTGCCTTTCTTACAATTCTTGTATGCATTACCCTGCCTCTACAAGCATATAATTGATGAAGGCTGATGCTTTTACTTCTATTATTTTGAAATTTTATGCCATATTGGTCGCAATCAATCTTGTGTGTTAATTAAGTGGCCACTTTCTTCTTTGTTTTGTGGTATACCCTTATTCCTTCTTCGAAAAATTTAAACAGTATGGAAAATAGTAAAAGTGAAGTTGTTGCCTCTATATTGGCATATAAACTACAGACAATTTTCCTAGCAAGGAAATAGCTGAAAATCAGTTTTCCCTGCTCTACTTTATTTTCATTATTTTGTTTTGATTTTGTAATTTCTTTTTCTTCCTTTTTGTTGATTTTGTTAAGGTTGGAAACCTGGAATCCAAGAAAGGGTAGCTGATTGGGATGAAAATTTGGACAAGTTTGAAGATTAAGGTATTTTAAACAGTTTTCGTATAGGATTAAGTGGATATTTACCTTGAGTATCTTTTTCGCAAGAATTGTTTGATGCTGGATCTTTGAGTGTTTTGTGGATTGAAAATTTTGTGGTGTAGTTGGTTAGGGAATTTGAAGCCAAGATGTGCAAGTTGTAGTTGTATTATTGTAATTCTGATGACCTCTTGCTACTTCCAAGTTTCACATTTGTCAAAAAGCTCACTCTTAATGTGGAAAATGTTGTAGCCCTTCCCAAACCAAAATCCTCTTCAGTTGTTAGTAAAGCACCATCCACAAAAAAGGGTGTACATGTTTCATATTCTTTAACTTCTCTTATGGTTGAAAGTTATGAATACCATGATTGCCTATTGTAATATCTCTTCACTTTTACATATGCATCATGCACTTTGATCATTAATGCAAATAGTTTGTATGAATATTATTTGCACATAGATTGGGAAGCATAAGTTATTGCTCTTTAATAGTGCTGTGGTGGTTTCTGATGCTAAGTATCCATATTATCTTTCCTAATTTCTCCCTTGGGTGCAGAAAGTCGCAATCAAGAAGATGGATATACAAGTTTCAAAGGAATTTCTTGCTAAACTGAAGGTATAGTCACATGTTCATTATCTGAACCTGGTAGCACTCTTATCCATCTTATTAGTAAATATATGTACGTGCCATTCTATTGTATTTGATATGGACTTTGCTGACATTTAGAACCTAGAGTAATTTGAATTCATTCCATTTTTTGAAATCCTTTTTATTTTTAATCCTCTAGAATTTAACATCATATTATGGTAATTTGATAACCAATATATTTACATTGTGCCATTTAGCAGCAGTTAGAGTCCTTTGGCTTCAGATAGAGTTGGACTTGCTTTGTTTTTTCTTTGTTGGCTGTTTGTACCTAACTAAATGGCCTATAGATAAATCTCTGGTTATGTTATGAATTTTATAAAAGAAAATTTGAAATGAAAGTGGACTTGTTCTATGTTGTGTTCAAATTTCAGAACCTAAAGAGATCCTAAATGGTTTACAAATCCATTCTTTTGGCCTGTGTTTCTAACTTGTAAAACTGTAGATATTTAGAAGTTTTCAGGTAACATACTTAAAGATTATCATATGTCGAAATGTTTAATGCCTATTCACCCTGAAGCTTGAGTTTTGTTGCATCCTTGTTACCAATCACTTTTATTGTTTTATAATTCACTACATGCAGATTTTCTGCAGTCATTTTGAGTCCAGTTTTTTACTTTTGGCTGTGAGTGCTGAATATTTTATATTTAGAATGACAATCTCATTTTAATTTTTCTCTGCAGCTTGATATTTCTTGCATATGTAATTTGGTTATCTTGTCATATGCAGATATTGGGGCAAAAAATATCTCAAACTTCATCTCTAATTATGCAATTAGTGTGCCAAATTTAGCGGTGAGGAACTTCTCATGAATGCTACTGGTAATTTCCTTAAGGCCGCAATTTTCTGAAGCACTTTTGCACTACAAGCAGTTTGCTCTTCCTATTTTTAAGTATATAAGCCACCTGCATTAACTCAAATAAACTTAAATGGTGTAGTTTTCAATTAATTATTCTTACAATTTTAGTTACAAACTTGAAGTTTTTTTTCTTGATAAGTGAAAATTTACAAATATTCAATGGGCATGTCCAACTAGACATATTGGACAAATATTTCATATCCTTACTCAAGTGTCGAGTGTCTGATATGGTTAATTAACAAATTTAGAAGAGCACGTGTAACACAAGTTATGATTTTCATTATTAACACAAACTTGAAATTAAAAAATAAAAATAAAGAAACAGGGAATAAGAAAGGTAGAGAAGGATTACTTCAGGTTATGCATCATACTTTCTTTTTTCTTTTTTCTTGACAAGTATACATGTCATACATGACTTTATTTTCTAAGGATCCATTATTGCATAGCTTTGAGTTGGTTTTGTGAAAGAGAAAGGAATCGTGAAATCAATGTGCTTAAATTATTTGTAGCACTCAAGAGGATTCACATTTGCTATATATCACTTGAATATAAAAAGGCATCCTCAAGTTGGATAAGCCTCTAGGAAATTGGCTCAAGTTTGCTGTCTGAATACTCGAAGTTATGCCTATTTATGGTGACTGGATAAGGCCATACTTTGTGAATACTACTACCTATCATCTTTCCATTCATATGATGCTTACTTCTTTTTATGCCTTTGTTTAGAATTAGTTAGTATTCAGATCTGAACAATGAGGAAGAACTTTTTGTAATTGCTGTGAACGATCATTTCATTTTTACTCCAGTAGGAAACTGTTCATTAAAATAAAATGGAAATAACGAAGGTACTGGTGTTTGCTTCTAATACAACTGGTTGAGCCATGCCTTATTTAATTAGCAATGCTAGAGTTGTTATGATTTTCAACACCCAAATTTTCAGTTTAGTTTAATTATATTTCAAAGTTTGATAAGCATAAGTAATATGAACTAGGTGTTTGAATTGTGACATGAGTGGCCTGTAAAGCCCCATTTATAATACATATTTTAGAATAATTTGGTTTAGTAGTTTAAACTTTATGTCCGATGTGCCCATTATAGTAAGACTTGTCTTATGCTGAAAAATGCATATATCACAGTTGGTTGCTGCTACGTCTAATTGTGTATGTGAACAAAATTTAGGTTATTCTTAATCAATGGACATCTCTAATTGACAAGAAGTGGAATAGTAAAGAATTCATGGTATAATGTTTTATGTTAATTGTCAAAAATTAATTTTCTTCTTACTAATGTTAAGTTTTGTTGTTTTTATTGGTGTTTTAATCATGTAGGAACAATCACTAACTTATGTTTATATGTTAATTTAATAGAATATTTCTTCATCAACTAGGGTAGAATAAAAAACTACTTTTGACATTTAGGCACAAGGTCCCTGGAAAATAGTAAAATATGCATCTAACGGCCCGAAAAACATCACAAACACCTTGAGATTATCAAAAATTATCATGAACACTTTGGGAGGGATCAACATAAGTTGTGAAAACTTACAGAACAATCATAGGACTCTCGATTGGAAAACATTTAAGCTTGAAAATAGGCCGTTAAGGAGTAAAATCTTGAAATAGTCGTTAAAAGGCCAAGAAATATCATGAACACCTTGGGAGAAACTAATGTAAGTTGTAAAAATTTACGGAATAAGCACGGTAAAATTTGGTTTAAAATTTACTTTGAAATTTTTATTTTTTCTCTTCTAGGTTGCATATTAACATATTTAGTGAATGGTTACCTTAACCTTTTGTTGTTGTTGTTGTTGTTTTTTTTTTTTCTTTTTTAAATGGCAGATTGGAGATGAACGAATTTGGTAACCTGCATAGCAAGAGTTTTTTGTTGATATTACCAAACACATCCATCACAGTGGAGTAGTGCTTTTTGTTGATATTACCAAACATGTATTTTGACTATGTTATTATGGGTTATGATTATATTGTGATGGATCTTATCTTTTTGTTGATATTTTATTGAATAGATTAAAATGAACAGGTTTTTGTAATAATTTGTAATGGATATTATATTCAGTAGGTTATTAAAATGCACAAGTTATTTTGATTGTGTTGTAGTTTTTGATTTTACTAGAATAGATGTTATAGTTTGGATGTTATATATTAATTTCTTGATACTATGAGACATGTATTTTGCTTGGGTTGTTTTATGATAATGAACAATTTAATTTTATATTGATTTGTATTAGATATTTTATTCAATAGATTATTAAAATGTACAGGTATTGTTTATTGAAAAAAATATATAAATTGCAAATATAACCCTCCCCTCAAATTTTAAAATTTATTTATTATTGGCGACGAAAAAAAAGTGACACTAAAACTTTCTAATCCCAACAAATAATTTCGTCACACATTCATTATTTCATCACTAAATTAAAATATTTGTTGACAAAAGTTTTCGTCACTGAAGGTTTTTTTTTTCCATCTTTTGGTGACGATATTTTCATCACAAAAAATTTTATCGCTATTTTTAATGACGAAATATTTTGTCACGAAAACAAATAGAATAAAAGTTTATTCAATTTTAGTGACGAAATGGACGTTATAGGTGACAAAATATTTAATATTTAGTGACGAAATATTTCGTCACCAAATACCAATAATAGGGGACAAAATAAATTTTCGTCACCAGGTACTTTTAGTGACGACGAATTGATGACGAACGTGGTGACGAAATTATTTCGTTACAAATTAATTTGGTGACGAAAATTTCACTATTGGAGACGAAATGATTTTGTCATTAAAGTACCATTTTGTTGTAGTGTTGCGTACGGGGTTGTTGTGGGGCCTGGTCATCCTGCCACCTGGGTGGGTCAGGTTGTCTGGGGGGATTATGCTGGTCATTGTGCCCTGGGGGGTTAGTCCTGCATCTTTCATGGGGAGGGGCTGTTGTGAACCGGTTAAGGGGCTCTTGGTGGATTAAGGTCTCAACTTGGTCCTTAAGGTTGACACATTCTTCAGTGGTGATGGAAACGACAATACTTAGATTGGTCCCGCCGAATGGAGGGTGATTTTGACGATTGGGGCCATTTGAGGCTATAGTCGTGTTGGATTTGGTGCAAGACTTGCTCCATGGGTGAGTTGAGAGGTATGTACTGTTTGAACCAACCTGATGGGCAGGTAGGCGACGGCCGGTCTGAGCGTGGAGATCGGTCTACATGTTGGGGGTGTCGATGGATATATTGTGAGTGCCTGGGCTCAGGTCCCTTTCTCTTTTCCCTGGATTGTGTGATTTTGGATGTGGAATCTTGGCAAGATGCCATTGAGTCTTCGGCATTCATGTATTTCTAAGTTTTGGCAAGAAGAGTGGCCATTGCAGTCGGGGGGTTTTTGGAGAGGAAAAAGAGAAAGTCTGACGGGCGCAAACCAGCCATGAAGGCTGTGAGAGTGACTTTGTCTTCGTTTTCCTCCACTTGTAAGGCCTCTGTGTTGAAACAAGTGACAAAGCTGCGGAGTGATTCCCCCTCTGTCTGTCGGATGTTTAGTAGTTGAGTTGCCGGATGTCGTTACCGCTGAGCACTGATGAAGTGGTTGAAAAAGGATTCACTGAGCTGGTGGAATGAAGTGACAAAGCCCAAGGGAGGCTGGCTGAACCAAAGTCATGCTGACTCCTTCAAAGTGACGGGGAAAGCGCAACACGTGATCTCGTCAGGAAAAACGTGGAGGATCATAAGTGTCCGATACGTTTCCACGTGGTCGACCGGATCGGTGGTACCATCGAAGGTGTCAACCGACGACATTTTGAACTTAGGAGGTAGAGCTTTATCCCTGATAGAAGCAGTGAAAGGGGAGTTGACGATTGAATAAGGTTTGTGTTGCAAATTTTGCATGACTCTTTGCAACTGAATCTTCATGGCCCGTAGTTCTTCATCCCAAACGGGGACATTGTCCCCACAGGCATGAATCGGGGGTTAAACACTACTAGCTTCGCCTTCATGGACGACAGCATGGTGCGGCAGAGTATGGTTATGGAAAGGTGGTGGCCCCTCTTGGTGGGATTGTGGTCTTGGAGGAAAAGGGTTCAAACCGTCTAGATGTGACGGTTGAGGACGCGGGGCAAATAGGGGGAATGTTCCTTGGGACACACGTGGTGGAAATGGGTGATGATCGTGGATTTGTGCAGGGTCTGGGGGAACTATCTATGGCAGTGGGAGAGGGACAGGCAGATCACGCTAGAGTAGGGCATTAATCAGGGCTTGGTTTTGCTCAGTTAGCTGGTTGATGCTGTTGGTGAGCTCGGCAAAATATGGAGGTGGGTTATTTGGGTTGGAGGATTCGGCTTCGAGATTGCTAGTGTTGTGTTGTGAAGCCATGGACCTTGTCATGACCATCCACCCTAGGGTAGGAGATGGGTGATAAAGGAGTTCCCTCCGATGACAATGAACACAACTGTCGACCAGAGATCATTCCCACAGACGGCTCCATCTGATAATGCGAGTACCTGTATGGTAGATAGGTCAGACTGATCCACGCTTCTAGCTGTTCCGTTGGCCTTGGGGTCTTCTAACCGTGCCTGCAAAAAGGTCCACAAAGGGGAGTCGACCCCTAACGGACACTCTAATGATCAAGTTAGGTCAAGGTAAACTGCTATTTTCATTGAGAGAGGGAGAGGGAGGAGTAAGAAGGTAAAGCTTAACCTTTAACGTATCTCGAAAGTTTCCTTCTTTCGTTTTGCTCATCATTTCCTTGTCTATTCCAAGCTGTCTTGTTGGCTGAAAGTCTATAGTCTAGTTAACATCGTTCACGGTGATTCTACCTTTCTGACGTGAGAGGTCTCTGCCGCATTTAATGCCACAGTGGCCTCATTAAATGGTAGATGTGTGGGTGCAATAACTTTGCAGGATCTTTGTCTGCTTCTATGGCTAATTCCTTGCCTGACAAGTGTTTGAATGCCACTGGCCTTGGCTCGGCATTGATACCTGGTCTATGAGTTAGGCCCTAAACCGTGGATTGGGCATTCTTGGGTGTCCGTGGGTTAGGCCTTCTTGGGTGTCCATCAGTATCATAATCTTTTAATTTGATAACCCTGAATAACCTTGGCAGATCTGTTCACATAGATATTACCATAATGTAATCTAGTAGTAATCTGAGCAAATACATTTTGCTCAAGCTCTATATAAGATAGTTACAAAACCATTGTATAGTATACATTTTACAAAATATAGGCATGGCTTATCACACTTCTCCAATCTTATCTACTGGCTCTAGCTGCTCTACAATCCATTGTTGCTGTCAAATTTGATGTCAAGAATGTTATAGGAACATCTCCGGATGGAGCAAGATTCACGAAAGAGATCCCCGTCAAGTATGCTAAGAAAACAATGAAAACCACCACCAACTTCATTTTGAAGATGTTATAGGCAAGGATGGACATAGGGATCCCCTACGATTTCAAAAACAAAAAACTCATCTTAGCACACATTTCCTATGCCCGAAAATAAAAAATTTAAAATATTTTTGCACAAGAAAAAATAAAAATCAACGGAAAACAAACTTACTTGAGCAAAAATATCTTTTACTTTTGAAAGGTAGAAAACGTTTTTCAAATTAAAATCTTACCAATGTCCTCATTCTACCACCATCACCGCCACCACATTGCCAATGCCAATGCCACCAACGCCGCCACCACCACTACCAATACTAAAATCATAGCCACAAGCACATTAATTTTAAAATCGTAACTGAACATCCGAAAATATTTTTTATAAAAAAAGTTTATTACAGCTATTAATTATTTTCAAATTATATAAACTCGTCCTAATCCATTTTTAAAATAATTTAAATAGTTTCATTCTACCATTTGTTTTCTATCTATACATTATCCCAAATATATAATTATAATTATCAATTTACTATAATATTTTTTGAAGTAAATAGAAAGATTAAAATTTCACAATCTTTGCGTGTTTTTAAGTGACTACGTCCAACATGACAACAATATCATTTTTTTATTTTTTATGATAGAATTTGATTTTCGACTCCATACTTTCTTTTCAAATATTTTGTTATTTGCTCGCCCTAAGTTAAAAATATGAATCATTACAGGGAAACAATGCTGCAGACAGGAGAGACATCAATAAAGGGGATGGATGATGAGGGATGATTATAGTCCGAACTACTTTGTTGAGTTGCTGGGGAAACCAGTTGATCAGCTGTGGAGAGGATACAAAGCCAGTATGGTGGTGGTGGAGGAGGAGTAGTAAGCAATGGTAGTATACATTCAAATGTAAGATGTGTATGTATCTCTCAATTAGCTTAGTGATTGAATGAATACAAGGATAGGATATTGAGGCAGAGCTGCGTTTGTATCTCTCAATTAGCTTAGTGATTGAATAAATGGATAGAATGAGTTTTTGTACTAGGAAATGAACTGTCTAAATAAGATATGGAGGAGAATGGATTTTGGTTCCACTTTTATATAGCAAGAACGAATTAAGATTATTTTCAACGTAATACTTTTTTTTAAAAAAATAATTTTATACGTATGTATATATATAAATAATTTAAATTAAAATTATCATATATATTTATTTAAAATATAAATTTATAGCACGATACGATTGAGATTATTCTATAGTATTTGATAAATGTACCGAGACTCACACAAATAGTTTAATTAAAATTTATGAAAAAATTAATACCAAACAATTTCAAGTATTTATAGGTCCCCAAAATTTATATGGATTAATTATAGTTAGGAGTGTGCGCGGTGCGGGTCGGTGCGGTTTGAGAGAAAAATAGAAACCGTATGGCGGGTGGCGGATTGATAAAAGTGTCACTAGAATTTGCCATTTTCCTTATCAAAAATCGGCAGTTCGGTTGGCAAATAATGACGGATTTGCCTTGGCGGTTCGGGCGGATTGGCGGTTTATAAAAAATATAATTCAAATTACAAAACTTAAATCAAAGAGTAAAAAAAAGATGAGAGATATCATAATGTTAAGCATCTTGCGAAGCTTTCTTCTTATGCAACAAGTGTAGCAACAACATGATAATATCAATGACTATGCCATCAGTTCATTACAAGCATCTGTGGAAGCTATAGTGATCAAAT